GGAACCGTTCCCAGATGGCATATATTTTGAATTCGAAGGCCGAAAATATTGCGAGCACGATTTCCACGTACTGTACGCACCGTGCTGCAACAAATGCAGTATGTTTATTATGCGTTTTGTGCTGTGTAACAGCGCTACAAAACGCATATTATCACGGGGTTGTCTGTGTGTTTGTGTGTTTGTGTGTGTGTCCCACATTTTGTCCCGCACTTTCAACTCGGGAATCACAAAAGCTAGGTGGCTGAAATTTTGGCATAGTGTTCCCCGCCAACGGTTAACGCGGCAAATTTAAATTCAGTCTTCCCGTACCCGCGGGTAGCTCGTACGGCCCCGTGAAAGTTTTTTACGAGTAAATCAATATCTCAGGAAACACGGAGTCTAGGAGGCTGAAGCTTTAGAGTAATGACCCCTGCTCACGCTCAACCTTGCCCATTCAAATTCAGCGTTCTCTCGCTGTTGGGTATCACGTACGGCCTCGTGAGAATTTTGACGACTAAACTATTAACTAGGGAATCACGAGAAGATATTCACTCTTCAAGGCTTCGAATTCAGCTTTCATGTGCTGGTGCGTGAAATTTTCAACTATTTTCCAATTTATGAACTATTTTTGCATAGACAAAAGTACAGAGCAGTGAAAATCATTAATAGGCAATCGTTCGATGGTCTGAATTGCACTGCACGCATGATCGCACCGGTCAGTCTGGTGCGCGTTGCTATTTATTTGTTATTTTTAGCACCAAATCTACCTTTCAATTCATCTGCTGTGCTCTTTCGTAGCTGTAGCCACACGTAAGAGAAGCTACATTAGTGTGTTAATTCTTCACAAGTTACCAAGCCAACATTGTTTTTGCATGATACCACTAGTACTACATTGAAAAATGGCATTGGCCGAGTAAAAATGCGCCTTTTTTGTTATTTTCAAAGCATACTTTTTTCAGATGAGTTCATTGTGGGCCGTGTGATCAAAGCGATGAACGCTAATTGGCATCCGGAATGCTTTCGCTGTGAGCTGTGCAATAAAGAACTCGCCGATATTGGATTCCTCAGGAACAGCGGAAGGTTAATTTGTTTTGTATTAAGTGAATTGTAAAGTAAATCTCGAAAAAAGAAGGGGAAGAGGGTGGGGAACGGGGTTAAAGCGGTGGTTTTTTTGTCTTACCAGAGCATATTTGACTGCTACACATTTTCTGATGATCAATTCATAATGTAGCGTTTTCATTCTGCATTATCCTGCGTCCACGGCATTCACATATTTTCCCACGTAGGCGTATAATTGAAATATTTTGTCTCGCTGCGGCCTTCCGGGTAAGTTGCTAATTCGGAAAAGTGAGAAGCTACAAGACTGGAATTTTGAAGAGATGTTTCCTGACAATCCTGGCGGCCAGTTTGAAATTCTTTTAGCTAGAAACATCTGCCAGAAAAACCAGTGCCGTTAGCGACAAAAATCTGCGGGGAACGATGCAAAAAACGCATCTTTCGCACGGGCAGCCCATGCGTTGGCCAATTATTTGACATCGCATGAAAACCATTCAACAAGGGGTTTTGTCCATTTGATATTTTTTCACTCTTCGCCATTGGACCACTTTGGCACTGTCATTTCCTGTGCTCTACCGGTAATTATGCTGATTTATAAAGTTTAATTTCAGAGCCCTTTGCCGTGAATGCAATGAACTGGAGAAAGAAGCT